TGTTGTATGTTTGGGTCTCCACCAATTTCACCTGATCATTGTCCTATAAAACTATGAATTGCATTTTAATTTATTTTTGTTATTCAGATTCAAGATTTTTGACATCACTTCCTTCCATCAATTTAACCTGCTTTGTCTTGCATTCGGTTCACACTTTTAACTGATCTTCCCCAGTATTATGTTCTGCACCAGTATCTTGTTTCAACTGAAAATATATCGTGCTGTTTTATGAAGACTTTAAAAGGCTGTGTCAAAGAAGTGCTCATGCGTCATTAGGAAGGTGCCACGCATCGTTATGAGACATTAAAACATAGGAGTAACAGAGCGTGAATGCGAAGGGATGTGATGACAGCGCCCGGAAATTTTTTCTATCTATCAAAGGTGGATTTCTTTCTCCCCCGAGGCTTCATTCCTTCTTCTGTTCAAGATGAGAAGTGGTGGGAGTTGAAGAGGGCAGCAATGGAGACAAGTTGAGCTCCTTGCCACTCTTCTCCTCATACACGCAGGACAGACTGCACTTTGGAGACAGATATCAGTACATGTAAATCAAGTTGAGAGAAATCTGGCAGAGGAATTGGGGAGAAGGTACATCTTCAAAGGCAGTCTGAGGAAGAGCATTAAGATAACTAAACAATCCATCAGGAATCAGAGAATGTGATGAAAGTGGTGTTTCAGTTTTATTTAGTTTCCCAGAGAACTTAGTCATGAGCTTCACTGCAAGTAACCATCAGTGTTTTCTTCCTCTTTTACGCTTGAGTGTGTCTTGTTGCCCGAGGCGAGCCAAGACTCTGATATTGCCTTTAGGAATCTTACCTTTTATCAGTCCTGAAATCCTGAAGTAGCTGTGAGGTTTGGTCTGTAACGAGCAAATATATAAACTAAGTACATCATAATCCCATATTTCCTCAAGAGGTGAGCGGACAAATTCTCTAATGGATCGCTGTGTGGGGGCTGTGGACAGGTAGGGTGAAAGACCTCGGATGAGAAAAAGGGCGCCCTTTTTCCTAGCTTATGTAAGAGGAGCAGAGAAAGAGAGGAAAAGAAGGCCACAATGTTTCCTCCTCCAAAATGTGTTAAGTGAAAGCTCACATAAATCCCCTTGAAAGTGGATTAGCAAAAATATCTTTTCCTCTTAGGTTTCATTCAGACAGGAGCCAGTCTTGAAAAAGGGGTGTCCTTATCTAAACATTGGACAGAATCTTATTAATCAAAGGCAGCAGTGTGCGAAACATAAGTCTAGGTTTTGGGCTAGTGTAGCATGGTAAAAGTCACTCACTTTTCACAGTTTCCACCCAAACAATGGAAGCTGGCACCACGTTATAGGAAAGCTCAATTATAATATCAGGTTGGTGTTATTACTGTTGATTATGTGCTTTTGAAGACCCGACTTGCCCCTGAGTTCACTTCCTCTCCCCTTCCTTGCTTGAGACGCGCTCTTTGAAATCTAACTCGCCTTGGAGGTTAATGAATCACCGGCCTGGTTCCCTGTTTTACTTTCACCCTTGCCCTTTGTCACATTGACACACACACACTCACACACGTAGTGTAGTTTTAGAGACTGGGATACCCGTTGGAGTTAATTCTTTCAATCACGGGCAGCCCAACAAACCAGGAGTGTGTGTTTTTTTAACCTCTGTCATGTTCATTTCAAATAAACTCAAACATTGCTTGAGTTAGTGCATGCTTTGAACAGAATCTAACACACTCATTAGAAGAGAGTACATGTATTGGTGTTAAAGTGGGCTCCTACCATCAACCACAGGACTTCAAATATCAACCATGTCTCCTAAAAATTACATTAATAGCATGCAATTGTTATAGGAAACATATGCCATCCAAATTATGTTTTTTAATCAACAATGAGGAAGCATTTGAGTGTATCTGCAAACTGTGAATGTATTTTACGTGCTCCTGGCAACTAAACTGTAATTAATGTTTGTAAAATTATGTTTAGCCAGCTTATACACAACATTGACATATAGAATTGTTCTGGCTAATATGTTAGCAAACAGTTTCCTATTTCACATCCAGCAGACATGTAGCAATGTAGCATTCATTTGGAATTGGTAGCTTTGCTGGTCTGTCGTTTAGCGCCTTGTCGTTAGCATACAGGTTTTTTGTGTGGTGGCGCTAGATAAGAGTAGAAAGTCAGGTAATCATCATGGGATCATTATGTCATTATGATTCATCCTCTGGAGACAATGAATGTCTGTTCATGAAAATCCATTAAATTATTGCTGAGATGTTTTAATTTTGAACCAAAGTAGTGGACCTACCTAGAGCGAAGCTGCTAGATTTGCTAATGAGAGCAGCTTTAATGTTAGGGAAACATCATGGTCTTCATTAAATACAGTGAACAGTGAGTTGGAGCATGACACAGGATGCGTTGACATTTTCAGTATTTGACCATTATATAACCTATTATATTTCCTTTTACCTCCTCTCTACAATTTCTCTGCTGGATAGGAATGCCACACTTCCTGTGTTGAGAGAAAAAAAATGCCAGTGAATGTAATCCAGGCAGAAAATATGTTAAGAAAATATTTGACAAAGCAGATTTGTAGTATATAAATGTATTTCATAGGAGATAAAGTTTTCAAATAAGGGATGCTGTCAGTGTCATCAGCCCCCTTTCTTTACATGACAGCATAACCCAGTACTTGGCCCCTCTTTGGAAATATTCAATCCTCTGCCAGATCCTAATGTTTTAGTCCAGTGGGGGTATGCAGGATGCTTGACATTGGCACTGGACAGTCAGCTTGTTTGCTCAGGGAAACAAGTTTGATAGATCCCCCTTTTAAGACTCCAGCGAGGGAGAGTTTAGCTGTCATTCACCATTAGCCTGGTTCCAGCATATCTCACGTCTTTTAGGGAGGATGGATGCAAACTTTAAAATGACATGGAAATGGTTGTCAGATTTGTCTGGTGTTAAGACACTAAGAGTGTGTGAGAAAATAATTTCTGCGCATAGGGGAAAAAGATCTCTTGAGAAACACACAATCAGTTTGTTCATCTCAACCGGGCCTCCATTTAGCCTTGAGCAAGGACATCTGGTCACTTAAGTGGTTTTCAGTACATCTTAGCTGACACACACACACACA